AGACAGTTTTCTGCAGGTCCCAAGGAGGTCATCTACACTCTTGGTAATCTACACAGTCCTCCATAGCAAACTCACTGCTTTCAGCTGCCAGTATTTTGGCCTGCCTGCATTATGAAATTTTGCATACTATCCAGCAAAAACAAGTCTTCCTATATGCATTTTTAACTTAGTACAGCAAAACATACTGCTAGCAAACAATTACTTACAAAGATGCTCTTTAAATATAAATAAGGAAGTGTGTATAACTCACTAATACTTAGTAATAAAATAATCCCTAAGTCACTTATTACATTAAGTAAGATAAATAATTTGTCTTTTGGACATCAACAGGAAATCTGCATTAAATTATATTTAAAAAAAATCACTCAAAATTCCCTCAAAAAACAAACGACAAAAAAACCATAAACCCCTAGAATGTCACAATTATTGCACAACTAAAAAAAAAGCTTTGGAAAATCATATTTAACTACTGGAACTGACTGTGTCTATAAAAGAATTATATATTTCTCTGCTACATTCTTTCTAGTAGAACTCCGTTATCTGTCTACAGAAAACTTGGGTTTTACTACTTAAAATATAAAATGTAAAATTTTTGTATGGGCTGAATGTAACAGCAATCTTCATTTTGTGAGGGGCTTTTAAAGCTCTTTCTCATATTTTATTTCAATGAAAAATAAAAGAACTGTCACTCATTTTCGTATAATTTAGGATCCAGTTCCACTCTCAGTCATCTACCTAATTGCCACAACTTTCATTACAATTCTACATATTTGAGATTAGAGTAGACCTCGAATACTGGGTATTCTCTGTGCCACTAAAATCCTCAAGTAAAGGGACTCTGCCAATATATTTCCAGATAGTATATTCTATCCTATAATATTTGCTGACAAGTAAACAAGAAGGATGTTGGAAATTACATTTATTTATGATACTTAACCACTTGCACTTTCTTGGGGCAGAGACCAGGTCTCTTTCTATGCCGGGGTTCTTCGTAAACACCACCGCAACAATGCAATCGTGACGCTGGCTGATGAAACCAAATCACTAACCCTGCTATTTGTTATATCTGGTTTCATGCTGTGGTTCTCCTACACTAGCATAAAACTGCTGATAATTGGAAAAATTTGGTTATGAACCAATTGAAGAGGTATGCTGTTCCCTGGAAGGCTAAAGAAACTGCACATCATAGTCCTTCCATTTTGATTAGTTCAGAAAAACGTACACATAGAGGACCTTTGGCTTAAAAATACAGGCAATGCGTAACCTGCTGAAGATTTCTAATATGTGACTCAATGGCCCTTCTTTCAGAAAGAAAGAAACCCATGATATGTTTCTGGTCTTATGTTGTTCAGTGTACGCCTGTTATACTCTGACTAAGGTACGACTGGTTAGGCTAGGCCTTTGCGCAGGGAAGGACTCTGATTAGGCAACTTTCCTCCCTGGGTGTTGAAATCAGTGAACTGAGAATTTGACCGACCACTCTGTACAGCATATAACTCCGTATAGACAAAGGGCCCAATACTGCTTCCTCACAAGAATCAAAAGCAGAAATTTCCATTCATTTTAAAGGGAACAAGACCAAATCCATATGCATTCCTCTGTCCCACACATAGTATACATAAAGTCACTTAAAGAAAACTACCGAATCGACGTGAGAAGGAACACAAATGAGCCCAGATAACTGAAGAAATTCAACAAAATTAATTAACAAAAGTAAACAGCAATCTGTTAAATGCCAAGGGGGACTGTGGTGTCTGACCACTTCCACATACAACCAGAAGCTGCTGAGCTGGGATAATAGAGGCACTGTACCATCTACCTCCTCCTCTCCTTTCTTCCCGCCTGTACTCCATCTCTCCAAGGAAACCATCTTGCAGATGGTTCTTTCTGGACGCACATTGCTGGAAGTTGCCTGTAGATGATCTGCCTCATCAACCCTTTTGGCAACTCCCTGAAACTCCCCTCTGACCGGTATTATTTCCTCTAGGCTGTAAGACTTTAGCATCCTCAGCCGAGGCAGAAGTTATTAGCACACTGCATTTTGGTAACTGCTACAGCAGGTCCTGTTGTGTTCCTCTAGAATGAATCAAGTGTAACACATTTGCATTACTGTTAGCATAAAAAAAAAAAGATGGAAAACCACACCTATCTATTTTAACTTACACAGGATTTTTCTAGTAAGAAGTTAAACTGTGGATGAAAAATAAAGGCAAAGCAGCCACTGACACCTCAACCATCATTTTTTTCTTAGTGCGCTCTCAACTCAAAGGAGTAATTTCTGAAGGAAATCTGGAGTTACATTTTGTAATCTACTGTCCAAGTAATTACACCAATAATTAAGGTTTTTGTGTATTATTGAGGAAACTACTTCCACACTAAAACATATCCTATAGCAAAATGCAGGAAAGGAGGAAAGAGAGAAAGCAAATAAATATGTGCACGCCAAATGGACAACACAAACACTCTTCTATGCAAGCAACCCTTCTGAAATGCTCAAGAG